AGGATGGCCCCAACACCTCTAGATATACAAGTCTTTAACAGCCCTCACCTCAGAAAAAAAGAGGTTTCCACAACCTAATTCTCAGAGAGGGCTGGGCCCTAACTTGTCTCTATGATCATTCCTACATGAATCATGGAGGCAAAGGAATGCCCTTTTGAAACAGCCTGTTATGTGTGTCTTCTTGTGGCTGGAAAAGTTACACCATTCCTTAACTATGTAGATTCAAAATGAAAGAGGTGGTGTTTCCAAAAGTAGACTCAGGGTGTTATTATCAAAAGAAGGGGAAGTGTTTCTGAGTAGGCTTTACTAATAGATGTCCATCATAAAAGGTATAATTATTATTTACATTGTACATGCAAACAAACTGAGGCTTCAGGAAAAAAGGAAGATAATCTGCTTCACTGTAACTCTATTGTAGACACGATGCTTTTCCCAAGGAAGTAAAAATAATATCCCAATTCTCCAGAACAATAAAAATGATTTATATTGTGAGTACATTCAAGGAATGCCATTCTTACTACACACAGAAGGAAGACATTTGATAATTACATTATCATCTTCAAACTAAAAGATACAGAGATGACTTTATATAGACATAAGTAATTTAGTTTTATGGACATTCTAAAATGCACATTTTTAATGGCTAACATTTTAAAGGATTACCTGCTACTCAAAAAACCATAAGTTCTAAACTGTGAACTCTCTAGTGCTATGAGTCTTTGTCTCTGAATCGGAACTGGACATAGTGCTTGTCACACTGAAGGTGCTCCATAATTTTTTGTTGAGTGAAAATGGATGGAAGACAAACCATGTCTTTTTAATTATTTACTTATTAGTGGATGGTACAGCCCAAGTATTTCTACATAGGGGACTGAAGAATTTGTGAGTGTGTCTTATAAAGAAAGCTCTAGGTATCTACGAGGATTGCATTTTGAGAGAAACTGTTACATTAATGGGCCTGCTTAAGGAGGAGCCATGGGTGATTTCATATATATTGGCTCTTTCCCAGTGCCAAATTGGTTGAAATGACACAAGCATTTGACAACTGAACTTTCTGCTAAGTATGGTTTATGATATGCTTTAGTTATGATTAAATTGGACCAGATTAAATCTGTCTCTTGAAAATCTGAACTAGAGATGGTGGAAATCAGGCAGTTTGTAACAGAAGCAGAAGTGTAAAGACATCCAGAGTGGAACCTTGTAAATGGTTTACACTAGAGTTGAAGTATTTCTTTCTGAGGCCCCAAGTCCTAGAGAGCCCATGCAGCCACCAAAGTTATTGATCAACTGCTAGAACTATTACTTTGTCTTTTTAAATATTCCAGTCTCAGTGAGATCTGGCATCAGGATAAAACAACTGTATCATTCTGAGCACCACATTTTAAATGAGATAATGCCCAACCACAGGGTGTCCAGAGAAAGACAGGTAAATGGTTTGGTTTTGAATTTGAATAAGGTATGCCTGAAGGAAGAATTCATGCTTAAAACAGAGAGAGTATGGAGTTCATAAAGATAAACTTTATATGGAGAAATGTAATAAAGAGACTGAGTACATTCTTGGTCCCTATAGAAGAAAGGCCAATGAATAAATGAAACAAAGAAGTATATCTGTTTATATTCAGTTGAAGAAGAAATTTTGCAACTTTTTGCTGACTTATTAAAGAGTGATCTTGAATGATGAAATTGTAGTTATAAGATACTGTAAATATTGTATAATTAGAGATTCTTCAATTTAAAGACTGTATTGTTCAGTTTTATAGAAACTTTTCTTTTTTTTTCAGAAGGTTAAGGTAATTTTCAGACTCAATGATACATTTTAGAGTTCCTTGTTCTTGTTAGGAAAAGACAGAAACAACTCTGGTGTTTTTGTTTTGTTTTGTTTTGTTTTAGTATTATTTTATTTAAAGAAGGACCCCCAATTATGTAAGTTCAATGTCTCATAACACTTGATTTAACCATTGTTAATAGAGATGATTAACACTATCACAGGTATTTAAAGCTATTCCATTCATATTCGAATCCACAAGTTGAATAACTATTCTCATTTATGCATAGAAAAAACTTTAATATGTGGAATTCTAATAAGAACAAATATTTTCATTTGCGATACACTGATGAAAATTGAATCAGTGTAATGAAAGAGCTCTGCGGAAATGGTAGATCATAAAGTTCCAATGCAAGTCTAAAAGTGGAAAAGTAAAGGAATTAAAATGGACATTTATTTTCTTGAAAGTCAGACTTAAATAATAAATTTTCATCATAGAGCCAGCCCACAGTAGGCATCCAATAAATATTTGTTTCTTAATGGGGCTTTTGCATTTCTATAATCTTACTTAAACTTAATTTTCAGGTAGAAGTGTTACCAAGACTTAAATTTACTTTTTGCAAGAGTTTCAGATAATTTGACGTCGTTTTAGAAAAATATTTTTTCCTTTAATGGTCTTAAAATAAAATTTACTCATAATTACTCGCAAAACAACAACAAAAAATAACTAAAATAGGAAGACAAGAAATAAAAAAGGGATGTTCCAGCTTTTATTGCAAATGAGTCAAAGGCAAGTTTTGCATTATCATTTACTAGCCCATTTTTATAGCTGCTTTTTGTGTAATATTTTATAAATGACATGTATAAAGTATATTGTAGGTTCTTTCAGAAGAAATGATATATGTAAGATTTCGCTCTTGTAGTAAGTTAAGGGCTGAGGTGAAAAAGGAGCCAGTTGTTTCATTTGACAATACTTAATTCCTTTCAGAGTTGATATTTTTTCTCTTTCGGAACTCCTGTGATCAAGGTTTCTTTTCCTGCAGTTTTATTTGGGACTATGGCTAAATACAGTTTCTGCTCTGTCTCTGCTCAAGAAAGATGTCATTGCTGTCATGTAGAATGACAATGTTCTTTCCTCACAAACTTCAACAGGGAGCCATACCACTCTCTTGTGATGTCTTAAAAAAAAAAATGAAAAAAAAGATGACCTTTTTGATAACATGACCTAAAACAAAGATAGTTTTACACCTTCATTCATCTCTCTCTCTCTCTCTCTCTCTCTCTCTCACACACACACACACACACACACACACACACACACACACACACACACACACACATGGATCCTGCCCTAGCTGTTTTAATTTCAAGGACTTCATTTTAGGTTATTTTGGTATCTTCTATTCCCCTAGAAGTTTCCACTGTTCTTTGTGATGAATTGTTAATATAAATTGGGAAATACCTTCAATAACATCAATTTTCAATTGTGACATGTCTCTGTACCACAACCCCAAAATTTTTCTCTTCCAATTTATATTTGCAGTATTTGTCTTCCAAAAAGTAGTTCAGATTGTTACCAGTGCTGATTCTAAGGAAGTCAATCAGTGAAAGAGAGACATTTCAAAATTTTTAAATTACACCTAAGCCTGTAAAGCTTTAGAATTATTTGTTTTTGAGTAGTTTGAAACTTCTGAGATCAGGTGTTCAAACTTTGTATCCTTACAAGATTCAGGAAAATTCAGTTCTGACAAAATCTCTAAGTCTTGTTCTTCTGTATATAAACATTTTTAGTATCATTTAATAGGCTTTCATTTTTTAGTTGATAACCTTTTAAAGTAGGGTACATTATTTATTAAGAATTATTGAGTCTTTCAATTAGGTTCATAAAATAGAAACTGTAAACATGAAATGGAATCATTTATGTCAGAATAACTCTTGCCTGTGGAAAAGAGGACAGTTTGAGATGTGGGATTTGAGAATCACTAAATGATTCCTAGTTGCAAAGTCCCTTACAACTCAGTTGACGTTAAACCTTCTTATTGACATTTCTCAACAGAATTTTTAAAAGTTCCAGTATCTGTGATAACTTACCTTTCTAAATTATAAATTCATAGTTATGTGCTCATACATTAAAACTGTAATGACTTGATATTCATGATGCACCTCATTAGTTATTTTATTAGAAACACATTTGGGTGAGAAAATGTTTTGTTACTCGATCAAATTACTCACAAATTTGCTTTAATCCCACTTTGCTAAATCTCACCTGGTTTCTTTTAAAACTAAAATATATCTGATTTGTAGGGTGCATAATTATATGTTTACCAAGTTTTTATGTGACATAAGAAACTACCTTAATTAAAAATCTCAACATAAGTAACATTTTCTGTATATATTATATTTATTATACATCTCCGTTTTTGGCAATCTCGACCTGGGAAATCTGAGTAAATTATTTATTTGCT